AAAAAAAAAAAAAAATAGCAAAGAAATATACATTTGTCCATGAGATGCACCATGTGAGGCAAGCAAAATGGCATCAATTATGTTATTGGAAGGCAAGGCTTCGGATATAAATAGCCAAGACTAGGGCCCTCAAACGGCACGACAAAGAAGGAAAAAGATAGAGAGGGAGGAAGAAAGGAATGGACAAAGAGAAAAGAAAGAAAGAAAATTGGTCAAAATTTTGTTGACCTAAAAGTTAATTTTTGTGATCAAAATTTTTTGGTAAGATTCTTTTAGTTATTATTTAGTAATTCCATAGATTCGAGTCACTTAAAGTTAATCCTCATTAAATATTTTTGAATTAAATTTAAGTATCATTACTTTTCATTAGTTATTCCAAAAATTATTTTAACTTAACAATAAAATATTATTTTGGTAATTTTATCATAATACATGGCATCGAGTTACAGAAACATCAGAGGTATGATTTTTTTTATCTTTTACTATCATTGATGCATTTCATGCATGTTCGGGGGTTTCACATCAAATCTATTTTTAATTATATAATGTAATATTATATCTTTTTAATCATGGGGTCAAAATGGGGTTGTATAAATAAATTGTGATCATGCACATATTATATTTTTTTTATTTATATCGAAACCCTAATTATCTTGTGAGACCACGTTACATAATAAATATTTTTTTCTATTATTATTTAATGTTTGATTTATTTTCTTGTTGTTGGGTCTGATTACGATATAACTTTATTTTATGATTTTGAGAAAATTACTATAAATGCACATAATTAAGGGCAGAAAGTTAGTAAATGTGTGGTTCTTGCGAGAATTCACAAGATTCCTACTAGTTTCTTGGATTCACTGGTTAGTAATATCGGTTGTCGTGGTAGCCTGTGTGGAACTACATAATTCCCGGTATTAGTTGTTCCCAAAAAAGCAAGAAAGGCATTGGGTTTCCTAGGGTGCAAGACCCCAAAGTTTTTCTCCGAAGGCGGTTCATGCATGAACCAAAAAATTAACGAATTGAAATGATTAATATGTGCTGAAATTTATTTATTTAATTCATTACTTTGTCATATTCCTGCATTTATCCGTTGTTTAATTATATTATGCATTATTTTAAAACTTTGATAGTCCTTGATAAACGTTATCATACAGGGCTAGTGAACTCATCCCTATCTAACATTTTTTAGAAAAATGAAGTCAGATAGAAAGACATGCTGAAAGGACGATGGACATAAAGACTACTATTATTTGTTCTCTTTATGTTATATCTAAAATATTTTAACTAATCGAAGAAAGATTATATAATCATACGCTGAATATAATAATACAAGGAAGGTTATTATAAGTTATGTGTGGTTTTATTATTTAATCACGACCGGGTTTTTTTAAAAAGAAAAAAAAATCGGGGCGTGATAGAGTGATATCAGAGTCTAGGAATTAGGTCTTACATATGAATTATAGAAAATAAATTAGTCAAAATAAATAGTTTGTGTTAATTTACTAGTACTACACATGCTTCAATATGGACAATTTATTTCTATATCTATAAAACTAACTTTTTAATGAATATAGGTATGGCAGTGTGGGACGATATCTACATGACACAAACTAACATGGAGTCTACAATAGCTAATGAAGTTCGAAGTGATAGAGTCAATCTAGAAGCTTACAATCTGCTAGTCCGGGAGGTCCAGGACGTAGCTAATACTTGGCCTTTCACACCTTTTGCTAAGCAAAAGAGACTGGTGTACCACCGGCTGACCTCACAACTGAGGGTAATCCTTGAAGCGATTAGTATGAAGACCAACCCCACCCTTTATCAAGAGATTATAGATGGGTTAGTAGTACCAGACCTCCAGTAGGCCCTAACTGTAGCTAACGTGGGACAACCAACAAAAACTCTTTACCCGTTTAATACTAATGGATGGTTGAACCTCAGACCCAGTGAACCCAATGTTGGCCCAGATGCTATACCACTTGAGGGAAATAATCATGCATTATCTATCAGTTCTATGAATGTGCGCCCGAGTGAAAGGGCTTGAAGCTTTGATTCCTTTATCTCACTTTTGACCTCACTA